CCCCCTTTTAAGCCAGCGGACTAGGAGTTGATCCTCTTACTGCTGGTGTTAACCGCCAGCTGCAGGCACCTTCCACGGGCCAAATTTCATTCTGTGCGAACTGTTTAATTTCTCGTGGTTGCTCGCGGAGCTGGGCCCCAGGGCGGTAAGTACCCGCGTGTGGCTTGGGGATTGGAGGGGGGGAGGCAAGTGAAGGTGGGTAGGTAGGTGGGTGGAGGTGGGGGGCAGGCGCGCGCATCCCTCACCAAGTCCCCCAGCGGCTGCAGCCCTTTCTGGGAGACCGGAAACGCCGCTCCAGGTTCAAGGTGAGGCTACGACTGTTTTCTCTCCGGGCCTGAAGGCTCCAATGGCACTGCCAGAAAGTGGGGCGCCAGGACCCTCAAGGCCATCGTTCCTCAACCTCCTCTCCAGGATGGCCATGGTGTTCCCTGATCTTGACCGAGTTTCCACTAAGCAGGGTCGTGAGGCCCTGTGGGTGCCAGAGCCTACAGTCCCTCACATCCCAGCACCACCCCCACCAGCTGGGCCAGACATTGGGCTGGGCCTCAGCGTCCTCTTCTGTGAAATGGACGTAATCAACGTATCTACTAGGTCACAGTGTGGCCACTGAAATAAGTAAATATAGGCGAGGCATCTCCAATCAGGCTGAAGTGCTGGATTAATGGCTTCATTTGACCCAGAAGTCTCTTCTGCAGTGACTCTCGGGTAGTAAGTAGTGTTTTGTGGGGTTGGTGCTGTTGTGTGATATTTTAATTTGTTTCATATTTTTTCTCATCTCTGAGAAAGCCTCACTTTCCTGAAAAGGCCACAGAACTTTCTCCTGCAGTATGTTCACTTGACCTGAACTGGGCAAATGATTGGGGCATTGGATGACCCCCCCCCCCGCAGGTGACATCACCTGGTGCCTGCTGGCCACCTGGGTCCTCTCTGTGCTTGGGAGACGGAAAAAGGCTCTAAGTGCAGACACGTCTTAACATCGTAGTCGCTTTGAGTGATTCAGACTTGAGCATTGAAGCAAAACGAGGAAGACTACTTAGGAATTAGACAATGCTAATTAAATGTTAGTCTGCACATAGACTCCTGGTGTCTAAAGGCCATTGTTGGAGAATACCCCAATCACAGGCAGAATGCTTATTACTGTTGCTAATATTGTTATTTTTACTATTACTTTTTTTTTTTTTTTTGCTTCATAGAGCTGACCTGTAGCTTCTAAACACCAAAAGATGGATTCTTTTGTGTTTCTTTCGAATTCTCGAAGTCAAGGATTTATGGATTTGGGAATGGGGAAGGGGAAATGAATAGAAAGGGGGGAAAATGTAGTGGGTATTTGGTAATTTCAGCCAAATTGCTCTAAGACAAAGTGTTCTGGGTGATTCCGAATCTCTCCCTCCAAGGCTCCCCTCCAGTACAGGTTTTTCCAGTTGCATTAATGGGACTGGGGATTTAATCAAGTGAGAAAATGTGGGTCTCGTCAGAGAGTAGAGAAAACACAGCTATGGCTGACCCACCTGTGCTTCTCAGGTGTCCGCAAACAAGGCATGAAGGGAACCGAATTCCTAGGCTGTATTTTTGAAGTGAGTAGCGTCACAGGACCTGGGATGGCAGGATGCTTCCTCTGAAAGGAGCCTGAAAGACCATTACATCCAACGCACCATTTTACCGTGGGAGGATCTGAGCAGCACGGAGGGGACCTGGCAGTGCCCGGCTGTGCACAGCAAGCTGTCACAAGGTGTCTCACTGTTGGTGGATTTGCCGTGTGACCTCCACGGCCAACTCTTTCTGTTTCCTCTCTGTTATTGTGAAGGAGAGTCCCGTCGGGGACACTGATTTCGCATGGCGGAGAGCATTTTGCAGAACATCCTGCTGCCTCTGGCGGGTGTGATTGCCATCAGAGGCATCAGCTGTGTCCTTGAGCCTCCCTCCGGTGCTGCCACGTCTCACAGGTCTTGTGATAACAGCATGTTGTGAGCACTGACAGGAGTCAGAAGCTGGGAATATCAAGTAGACAGGGCCATGGGCTTGTACTCTAAGAAAGAAGAAAATATTGTGTTGATGGCCCCAGTCCAGTAGCCCCAGCACAACCATCACCACCGCTGTTTGTTCTAGCTGGTGTTCATCAGGTATCCTGTTGGGCTGACAACTTCTCTGGACTTTTCCTTAATCAGCGTCCCTGATTCCTCACCCCCTCTGACCACCGATAGTATCCTTAATTCAGTAATGAGGTCAACAGGAAGTTACGTGGAAGGGACGGTGCTTATTGGCACAGCCAGGTGAAGATGATAACTTCGGGAATAACTTCGACCTCTCCAACCGTGAGGACAGAAAGTGCCCGCTTTCTCTGAAAGCAGTCCAGAGACTCAGGAAACCTGGATTCGTCATAGATTTCCCAGGGCTTTATCTCCTTTGTTCTGGTCTCTGAAGCAGTTGTTTGCTTTCTGTTTTGAAAGCTTTCATTTATTTTGAGAGAGTGAGAGAACAGGCCGGGGAGAGGCACAGAGAAAGGGGGACAGAGGATCCAAAGCAGGCTCTGTGCTGTCAGCGTGGAGCCGGATGCGGGGCTCGAACTCACAAGCCGTGAGTTCCTGCCCTGAGCTGAAGTTGGGCACTTAACCCACTGAGCCACCCAGGTGCCCCTCTGTGTCTAGATACAGTACCGGATAGTCTTTGGTGAATGAGGTCGCAGCTCAAGGCTTGCCATGAACACAGGGGGCCTTGTAGCTCTGCCTTTTCAAATATTCTATAGAGTATTTACAGTACTTCCCTCAAGTACTGTCCGCTATATGCAAGGATTTATTTCCTGCTTGTCCCTCCAGGATTTGAAAGTAGTAGATGCTTTCACATGTGGTGTCTCAATGTAGTTTTGTTGAATGAAGAAAAACTGGGACAGGCGCTCCGAGAATTATTTCGGCATCAATGCTAGAGCTAATGCTACAGGCGATCTCTCTCGGGACCCCATACTGTCGTATTTCACCGTTTATTTTTTTGGACTTCTGAGAGAACTACAAGAACCAGGGGATGTATAGATCTAACTATTGAGGAAGAATACTTTTAGGGAGATTGCAGGATGGATGAGGCTGTTGCTTTCCATGTGTTGATGTTAACGTTACTTAGAAAAGTATGGTGCAGATGCTGTGAATGGTGTCCCTTATGGGCTTTGATTATTCTAGGCAGCTGGCTTTCTTTGGGGCTAATGATTACAGCTTT